GAAATAGAAAACAAGAGCAAGATCAAAAGCGAAAATAAAAGCGAGATCAAAAGCGAAGTTAAGATAGAAAACAAAAGTGAAATTAAAATCGGACTAGGCGGGTTTTACCAAAATTAGGAGATTAACGAAATTACTCTCAACCCGGTAACAGTAGCTTACCAAAGAACCAGAAACTAAAGCTATTAGAAGAGTAAATGTTGATAACGTAGAAAGTTTTCTTAAGGATGATATTATACCTTCTCATGGTTGTCCAAGAGAAATTCTCTCAGATCAAGACACATACTTCATAAATATAAAATGATTAATGAGTATGTGAAAGAATGAATATATTAAAGAATATTATTCTCGTTCTACCACCCACAAACGAACGGATTAGTAGAACGATATAATTAGACATTAACAAAAATTGAACTTATCAAAATGCGCTTAATCTAACTGAATTTTTGTCATTTTCATGCAAATCTTTGAACTGGCCAAGTTTTTGGTATAAGTACAGTAACTATCGCTATGGAATATAATGATTTACGAACGAAATACATTAATTGAAAATGAATTTAATACCAGAAACTATTTTATTCAAACACAATATTGATAGCGAGACAGTCAACTCTTTCTAAATGCAACCTCCATAAATGCACGCTCTTCCTCAGGTCCAGCTGATAAGATCTTTAAATATATTACTCTCTAAATGCATGCCCATGTCTGATTAGTCGGCGAATTGCATTTAGGGAGAGTAATTACATTAACAACTTCTTCCAATCTTAAAATGCTCAAGACGTCGCCCTAAGAATGACTGCATTGTGCCGCACCCAGAATGTAGGAGATTACCATTGCATTTTTGAGCACCTAGCGCTAGCGCTAGAACGTGGGATTAAAGATTGTTTACCGTAATTTGCCGCATAAACCACCTCCCCCCCCCCGGGTGGAAAATTTAAACCTTGATTTCACCACAAGGCTATTAATTTAGTAATTAAAGTTTTTAAGAAATTGCACTGTGGATCTTATTTCTTTATTTTGTGGAAAATAACTGGTTTTATTAAAAAGATTTGGACCAAATTAAGGTTTAAATTTTCTATAGATGGGGTGCTTTATGCGGCAAATCACGGTATGCAACAAAATGTGATATTGAATATTAATTCTATTTTTATCTAATCGTGTAATTCCAGTGTTAGCAATGGGGCAATTGGACATACGGAATATGGACATAATTGGACATATAAAGCTGACAACGCTGTGTGTAATTCTAATTACATGTTTAGCTCATTAACAACATTCGATTTTAATATCGATATGCTAAATGGAAAAGATAATTTTTCTCCATTTATAAAGAAAATAACAGAGAACTTGCACAGAGTACATAAGCATTTATTTCCTTTGATACCTTAATATATACGTAAAGTATCCTGGGTATTTTACATCTACACTTATACCAGTGTTGTCAGTTTTATAACTCGTTATTTTGGTATTGTGCTAGAATTATAAAATTTTATAACTCCAGCAGAGCAGTTTTTTTTACCAGTTGTTCCAGTTGCCAATACTGACTTATACCTGGGGATATACTATTGTTCATCGAAAATTACGTACATTGTTTTAAAATAATTAAGATGCAATTACTAGGGGCATCTGAATTAGTTATTTAAATAATTAACTTTATCCCACTTCCTACAAATTTATATGATACAAAATAAAATTGTATAAGATATATGCTTCACTATTAACGCTGTACTTAGTACCCGAGTATTTTACAAAAATCGATGTTCAATTGTTGAAAGATACTATAAATAAGGGAATGTTATAGTCAGTAATCTTATTGCACATCCATTCATAGAAATACCTTAAAATAAGGCTGAAACAGATGTCTAAAATTGGACGTGAATGAACACATTTATAAATTTCTTAATAGCCAGAATAAAATGAATAAATACCGGTAATAGTCATTTATGAATGAATACATTATATTACAACCATCTTATCAAAAACAAAAAACAAATAATTTTATCACAATATGCTTTTTAAACTTCACTTTTTCGTCATATTTTCAATTACCTTGGTCCTTTCGAGTATCACTTATTCACATCCGACTCCGGAGTAAGCGTATATTTATTAAGCAACAGCAAGAATCTTCACGCATTTATAGTGATAGAATACATGTATTAACTTTTGTATTAACGAATTAGAATTCTTGATAAAAGACAGCGTGCTCCACAACCATTCAATGGTGATCAAGTCGCCCAGTATTCTCTTCCATCAGAAGTAAACACATCAGAAGCAAAATCAGAATGAGAAGATAACAATTTCATTCTCAGGCTTAATTATATTCTATTGATAAAAGCTGGCTGTTAAAAATTTTATTTCAAATATAGTGTTGACTTAGTAGCTATAACAACAGTAGTGAATTCATCGTTTAATTATAGATTGATAACATTTTTTATATGTATTAATGTATTCCAAATAAAACATGGATTGTTCAACGGTTATTTATTGGGATACCAAAGTAAGGAACCAAAATTTTTAGACCGATTTTTAATTAACATTTAATTGGCGCAATTTTAAAGCCAAATTTGATATCAATGAATTCTCCTATAGTATCAGCCAAAGACTAGAAAGACATTTCGCGTCTTGGTAATCGAGGACGAAATTGTTACGTAGTGTGGGTGAATTAATAAACTATCAAGGCCTTAATTGCGTGAATAACCCATCCAAATGTATGCAATTAAAATTTTGATAAAAGGCTGACATTTCGAATTCAATGGATTATTCTATTTTCAGCTGTTCAAAGATATAAAACTACGTATATGCATCATTGTTCTCGACCAAAGCCTCCTAAAATGTTTTTTCCCTTCCCTTCATAAGCAAATTTCATAAATACGTACGTATGTACATGCATTGTTACCGGGGGTTAAGAATAATTCGTTAATCTCCCAACTTTGATAAAACCCGCCTGACCCGATTTCGTTAGTTTATTTTAAAATTCTATTTTAATTTCGCTTTTGATCTCGCTTTTGTTTTCTATTTTTTTTCAATCCGAAGTTCTCTTAAATAATAGAGTGCATTATGCAACAAGTTCTGAAATAATACTTCATAATGTAAACAAAAAGATGTATATATCGTCCTCGCGGATGTTAATAAAAATGCAGAATTAAATTGCGGACAATTCTTCTCCAAGTAAAATAGACTTGTAAAATTTTTGTAATTGATTGTGGTTAGGTCCTTTGATCCAGAAAAGGCGTCGATATTGTTAAACGGCATATTGATTGATTGATTGAAAAAGCGCTTTGTGATTGAACAGTTTAAGGCTTTTAGCTAGAAAAGCAACGATTGGAAGTTAACAGGAAGATTATTGTCAATAAACCGTCACATAAAACAAAAAAACCAAAACCGACCCATCCAAACTCCCCTCTCTACCATCACACTGAACGATATCCGTAGATATCGGCACAGGAATTAGAAACGAACAAACACCACCTCAGTCTAATCACTCTCACAACCCATTGTTGCAGGTAAAATCGTCGATTACGATAGATATTCTTGTTCCTACAAACCAACAACTTTGCATTATCGTTATCATTATCCAATGAAAGTTCATTACGTATATTAAAAATATTAAGATGGATACCGATATTGAAAATAATGAAACAAAACACCACCAAGCTGTTCAACATATGCTAGCTGCGAAAAATTTCCCTTCATAAACGATACGCTCGATAAATTTTACCATTGGGTTGATCGTATTGTCGACCATCAACTAATGTTTTCTCGTATTCAAAATCACTTTCGCTTATTATAGGAAATCAGCAAAAAATGTGAATCAAATATGAAAAAAATTGGTACATAAGGCAGCATCCCAAGGAAATGTCCTAGCACAAGTAAAATTGGCTTATTACTTTTATAAATCAAAACCAAAAAATATAAAGTATTCGAGAAATGCTCCAATTTCGGAAATCTTTTGGCTCAGAAGCATTTATTTTATGCATTAGACAATGGAAGTGGGACCTGTCGAGCATAAAGCGCTTTTTAGCACTTTATCGATTAGTAACGATGATGATTTCTTACAAGTACGTAATAAATTAGCAATGAAAATTCAATGTTTTTTTAGTTGAATTGATCCTATTCACTTTTTTTTACTAAATCAATTTCACAAGATATTGCTGAAAATAAAATTCAGAGTTAGAACTTTATCATAGTTGCTAATTGAAAATAGGAAAAACTGTGAACAAAAAAAAACTAGCAATCTCAACAATCCTGAAAATAATTTCTTATACATGTATAAATTCGAGCCGCATCCAGTATTACGTACTGGGCACCAAAGTAAGAACTGATTTGCTTTTAAAATTGCACAATGGTAGAACATGCAAAAATTGTGAAGAGTCAAATTAAAAAAGTTCTTATCGGACTTTATTAGTACCGACACATACGGGATCCGTACAAATCCCGATATTCCCGACAGTACATAAGCCCGACTGACACCAAATCCCAACAATTACAATTACAAAATCCCAACAGTTACAAAATTCCAACGATTAGGATCTAAAACCATCCTAGTGTCCATCCCTCTAAAGTTGTGTAGCTGAGTTTTATTTTCAAATCAAAGTCAAGAATAAAGCATATGTAAGTTTTTATTAAAATTATTTATTATTATTTGTATCATAAATATATACTTTGCTACATAATGAGAATAATTTATAATATAAGATTGTGTGCAATTCCACAAAGAAAGTCCATCACTGAGCAGTTTTCTCAATCATTAACAATTGTTACGATTCTTTCTCTCTATCAATTAAGATCTTTTTTTGTGTTGGAGGTTGTTCACCATGAATAATACATTCGACCTGAAATTCAGTTTTCTGTTGTTCCTTTTGTAGCTCTTTAATAATTGTATAGATCCCTACATGACTTTGGCCAACCAAAATTCCCCAATGTCAAGCTTCTGCAATATTTTGTATTTGTGGAACTCCTATTTTAATTGAATTGTATATTGATCACAGTTGTGGTGAAATAGAGGAGATATACGAGTAATAATACCATTTTGAAGTTGTTGACATACTCCTCTATATACATAATTCTCTTCAAATCATTGAACAATTTCATTTGTCTCTAAAGATATTTCAAACTTTAATATATTAAATATCTCTGAAATTTCATGTGATAACAAAAATGCCAGGACAAACATTAAATTAAATTGTTCATGATATCATATTTAATAGCAAGTTCACATGAATTTTTGCCAGCCAGATTGTTTCAGATGGAAAAAATTCTTTATTACTAATATTAGGAAACACATAATGTTATGCATTAATTGTTATTGTTTTCTTCTGCAAAATCAACTAGTTCTTCAAATAAGCATCTATAAATTTCTTTTGATTTACTTGTCAATAATACATATACAAAAGGAAGAATTCTTGAATTTTCTGTACTAACTGGTGCATGAATCATATATAATTGACAAAACACTATTGAAACTATTTTAAAAGTATTATCCATCATTCAAAATAGAATCTGAGACAAGTGTTGAATCTTTTCCTGTGTAATAAATAGCAAATTTGACTTTTACTATACAATTTTTCACTAAAAATAAATCACCATTTAAGGTAAGACAAAGTGAGCATTAATTTTACTTTTTCCTTTTTGTAATGGTACAATCTCACAGATTTCAACCATTTTTAAAATAGTGTTTGTAATTAAAAGAAGTGTTTTAACCAAAAGTTGATTACGTAACGATTTATGTGACTTTAGAGATAACAATGGATACGCATCACATAATTTATCAAACCAAATCGTGGCATCATACTATACTATAATAATGATAACAATAAAAAATTGTTCCTTTATTTACTACAAAGAATGTGCCAGAGTTAGAATCAGGGTTAGGGGTTGACAGGAGAGCAAGGTTATATATACAAAATTTTCTCACCGACATTTTTTATTAGTATTCCAAGTTAGATCTGAACATTCATTCTCCGAATTTTTTGCTTTTCATTTTCTTTTGATTTGCCGAACTGATCAATATTTGCATATTGTTCAGAGAAAATTTAAAACTTAGCTGCGTAACTTTTTTTAGAGGAATCCTAGGTTGTAATTGTCGG